TCACATTCATCATTTTCTTCACATTCATCATTTTCTTCACATTCATCATTTTCTTCACATTCATCATTTTCTTCACAATCAGTTGAATATTGTCGTTTCAATGACCTCAATTTTTCTTTTAAAATTTTATTCTCCTTTAGAACTTCATTATATAAGTTTTCAAATGTTGAGGCCTTTTCTTCAAGCTCTTGAACATAATTCGCTCGACGCTGACGAAATGCTCTTTGATTTTTTAAGTTTTGATAATGTTTTTTAGCAGACGGCATTGTGGTCAAAGGCTTCCGTCCACGTTTATTTGGTAAGGGTTTCGCTGTTGTTTCTGTATTGGGCATAGCTTGTTGATAAGAATCGTTAACATTATTCATAGTGGAAAACGCTGATATGTTATGTGGCAAAGTAGGTGGTGCTGAAATCTCGGGATGTTTCGAGGTCGGTGGAACCGATGCCAGTAACCTAGGCAACTTTAACGTTGAAAGTGGTGGGCAAGATGTATCCAATTTCGACGGTGTGGACATTTCATTAAAAGAAGGAAAAAAAAATTTTTTAAGTCGAAGATTCTTAGAAACAAAAACTGAGTTCTGCACGTGTCACTTTTGCATCTTTGCACGTTATAATAATTAGACGCATAAATTAGTTCAACTTTAAGAATTTGTGTTATAACGTGCAAATTTTGCTTAATTTTATTGGATATGTACAATTTAGTGTTACATGCCATGCCGAGATTTGTGTTAATTAATAAGGCAAAAAATTTCATCCCAATGACCAGTAGTAATAAGCGGAATTACCAATTATTATTATTCAGATATTATTCAGAGCTTTAACGCTAAGCTTATTAGGATAATCAAATTAAATCGCAGGACATGAAAATAAAATAAAAATCATGATTTTTTAATGATTTTTTAATTGGATTTAATTTTTACCAATTTTTAAATTGATTTATCTTCAGAAAGTTCTTCAGAAAAGTTCTTCAAAACAAATTTAACCTGATTAGTAATGCACAACTGAACAAATAGGAACATTCTTCTGTAGTGCTAGATGAGATGACATACATGAGACAGCGAAAAAACCCAATATTTTTTTACTGAAGTCTAAAGTTTAAAATTACATAATCAATTATGATTGATTGATTTCGACATAATTAATTTAATTAGTTAATTAGGCGTTAAATTTTTCAGTCACATATAAACTTTAAGCTGAATAAACTTTTAACTGCAATAACTTTTTTCAAATTATAAATTCTATTTTAGTAGAATTGTAGCATAACAAATCTGTTACGTAAAATTCTTTTGATTATAATATATACTTTTATAATTATAAAAAATTTATATATATATATATATTGTATATAAAGTATTGGATTTTTTGTTGTCCGGTACTGTATAATACCTACTGAAATTCACATATACTCTTATTAATCTTATTAATAATACTATCACTAATCTACCCATAAAATTTTATACATATAATAATAAGTGCCATTTTGTAAAATTGTAAAATTGTAGAATTTAGTAATGATAGTTATATAAGCCACAGTGCCACATGCCACATTCTATAATTGTTTTTGGAAACTTATGCCAATGACTTAATTTTAAACTCAACGGGGAATAGCCTCCGGTCGTCAATTAATAAGTAAAAACGGGAGAATAATGCATTCATTTCCCCTTACAGCGGAATAATAGTTAATTATTCCCCGGATTTTTTCTTCGGCTTTTATTGGAGCTGAGAAATCCGGATAAATATTTCATTATTCCTGTCGTACCAGCGTACCAGGAAATAAATAGTATATGTTTTTTTTTATTACTCCCCCCCGACGAATAAACAAAAATTCATGTAACAAAAAAAATTTCATAGAAACCTAAATTTTGTTTTAGTTGATTTACACGTTCTTTATATTGTTTGACAAAATATCTATTAAATAGATAATATGCTTACCAATATTGCGATAACGGATTGCAAAGCTTAGAACAGTGTTGCCATAGACGTCCAGAGTTTCGATGGTTCCAGTGAGAAATCCCACCGGATCGATTTTCTCACTAGAACATATTCATCTTTAAATGGATCTAAATGTGACTATTGGTCAATCAAATCAGTTAGTTGGGGCCTTTGCTATGATTTTTTTTTACTAAAAATAGATTTGTTATGATTTTACTAATTAAAATCTTGTGTAACAATAGCTCGGAGGGTCATTTTGTTAGCAAAAGCCCCAGTTAGCGACTACAGTAATTTTTGTTTTCGAATTTGTATGAGCCAATCCCGACTATTCAATACAAACCATTCAATTTATCTTTCCAACTCATCTTGATAATAGTTTTGACGCAATGATCCTTTTTTCGCGTATTCATCACGTTAATATTTTTAAAAAGGGTTCTCATATCCGGTTTCACAATAATTCTTAATTCGTTAACAAAATCTTTAACATTATCACATGATCTATTAATATCTTTGAGTGCAATATTTATCCAACTATTATTAATTCTATTATCCAGTATATTGTTGCTAAATCAGCTTTTTTAATCTCTTTTTTCACTATAATCGGTTCAAAATAATTTACATTTATCATATCTAATACTTTTTTAAAGAATATCGATAGCAGCTTTTATATAATATTTCATTTAATAGTACTGTAGTATCGATATAGATTGATCAATTCTTACATAATTTTACATAATTTTACATAATTTTACATAATAATTGTCAAACGAATTACCAAGGTTACTCTGGTTATTAGTTTGTGACCCGATAATGTTCTTGTAGAGTTGGATGACTCGTAGCTTAGATTTTATGCCGGTGTTACGTGGGATTTTGTCGAACGTCACTCACCCTCACGAATATTCAATGTTACTTGATTTTGAAGATATTCAAGGATCGATCATTGATTTCTCAGATCCCACATGAGTACTCTCATGTCGCGTCATGTTATTTTACTTATCTTATACTCTTTTCACATTGCATTTCTTAGGTTCGTAATAGATAAGATTAATATCAAATGTAAAGAAAACATGTATAAAAGATTTCACCTTTTGCCTTTGTAGAGAATTAGATCTCAATTTTCTCTTTATACTTATAAAATCATTATTGTATTTTTTCTATTTATTAAATAAAGTTACCTGTATTTTTATATATTTATTAAATAAAGTTACCTGTATTTTCATACATTTATTAAATAAATTTACCTGTATCTTTATACATTTATTAAATATTTATTAAATAAAGTTACCTGTGTTTTTATATATTTATTAAATATTTATTAAATAAAAGTACCTGTGTCTTTATACATTTATTAAATAAACTTACCTATATTTTCATACATTTATTAAATAAAGTTACTATTTCATCTAGTATTAAAGTTTTATATAAATTTTTTAAAAGATCATATATAAAAGTAATTTGATAGTTAAATAAACTTAAATCTAAATAATGTATTTTATCAATTATTATAGCTTTATAAATATTAATATCTCTGAAATTAATAAAATTTTGTTAATTTTATATTAAGTATTTTAAAATAATTAAATATATTAAATTATGTATATAATTTCACAACTATACAAATTTAAAAATATTTTAAAAATATCAAATTTCTAAATATATTAAATTATATTTATAATTTTACAATTATATGAAATAATTTAATAAATTATAAAACTATTATTTAAACTTACTTAAATTTCTAAAAGATATTTGGTACAGATTCAATATATACTAATTTTTTTTTTGTTATTATAATAATTTTGCATATTTCATAATTTCTAAATTTCAAATCATATTTAAAAATATTTAAATTTGTTAAATTATTCCTATCTATTAAATAAAAATAGTAAAGATAATTAGAATTTGCTAACTTGTATGTTAAACAAAATGTTGTTGCTTTTGGCCAATTAGCAATTATTGTTAAAATTTTTAAATAGAATCAGATATATTTGTTATCAAGTAACAAATTAATTCTATTTTCCAAATATGATTGAATTAATTCTAAAATTATTTTTAAATATTTATAAAATATTTGTCTAACTATTTTTTGTTCAAATTAGATAATATTTTTATTATTAGCAAATTATCTAATAATTGTTTTGTATTCTGTTTATTCTTATATCAAGTAGATATATTGTCTAGTAACAAATATATTAGATGAAGTTGAGTTTTGTCTAATTTATCACAATTTGTAATATTAGAATATAAAATAATAAATAAAGTTTTTAAGCCTATAGATAAAGTATTTTGAATAATTTTTCACTATATTTTATTGGTTTGTTCTTTATAAATATTCTCTTTATCATTCTTTAAAAAAAATAAATTAATAAAAATTAATATAAATATTTTAATAAATAAAATTAAAATTTTATCTTAGTAGCTTTATAATTCTTTAAATTTAAGCATAAAATTTTGTAATATATTATATATTTCTAAAATATTATTAATACAACTGATTAATAGTATATAGTATAAAAAATACTCAGTATTATTATATTTTAATATTTTAGTTTTTTATATAAAAAGTTAGATTTTATATTGTTTATAAATTACTTTTTTTGTATAATATTTTTTAGTAATAGAGATATAAAATGATTTGAATACTTATTAAAAAATAAAATAAACATATTTAACTATATTATTTAGTTTATATTTTGTAATCAAAACTATTAAATTAGTATAAGCTTCATTAGAAAATATATCATATTTCTGATTAAATTTATTATCTGATAAATTATTTTAAATATTTTTAGAAATTTTAACATTATTATAAATTTTTTCAAAAAGATTTCTATATTTTTACAAAATATTTTCAAAATCTTTAAGAATTTTAGTATTATTTTCTTCTAATTCAAAAGATATATATTTTATAATTCGGCAATCTGTCTCTGTTTATTTGAGATTAAAACTATTCAAAAAATTACATAAATTTTTATTTATAGTTATACTAATTTAACCAAACAAGAGGCTCACCAAGCCTAAGCCTAATATGACCTGTTTCAGTAGCTATTGGCTTCTTTTAGAGTCTCTAACTTGCTAGAAATTTTTTTTCTCTCAGTTATCAGCTAGCGGCTATACATCTTGTCAGTACTACCTTATTTCAATGAATTTGAACTTACTTTGCATCTTGTTAGAGATGATCAAGTTGGTTTTGATTTGTATCAAACCAGATTCTTGATATTTCTAAATACTACTCCTTTATGATCTTCTTTTCTTTTCTCTTTTGGGTTCAAGATATTTTTTTTGTCTGCATAGGTTTTTCTAGCTTCTTTTTTCTTTGGTCTTTTTGTCTTTTTTGAGATTCTTTTTTTCTTTTTCCATTCATTTTATAGTTCACATCTAAGATTCTATATGTGTTGGCGAAATCTCTTTTCAAACTTATTTAGTATCTTGCCTATTACCTTTCTTGCTATGATTTTTCTTGCGCTAGACTCTCGATACTTGTTTTTTTTTGTCTTGTATCAGGCTTCTTATCATATAGTTTCTTGACTCTATTCTTTTTGAATCTTTTGTGCTAAAAATGCTTCTTTTGACTTTATTTTCT